AAGTTTTTCTTCATTACCCATTCAAGCCGTCTCCGTCCATTATTAGTCTCAAAGTGGGTTCCTCGTCATCGAATTTGAATTCATTGTAGATCTGTTTACGTTCTTTACCGCCGACAAGAGCCAGTTATTATTCACCTGTAAAATACTGTACCAAGTGTTTTTATACAGTTTAAGTTTGTTTTTTTTACTACATTTATTTTTGACGTATGGGTGTCAGTTTCTTCTGTAAAGATGTAGTGAAGGAAGCACTTTCATAACCAACTATCATCTGTGTAGTCCGGCACAGGTAGGATAACTGAAACTTGATTAGGTACTTGAAGATTTGCATAATAATTTTATTTCCGTCCCAAAAACTTCGCTTAGCAGGCTTGATTAATGACTGAGAACACTGCTAACTGCAACAATGTCAAACGAGTTTCCTGTTAGTAATAAGGTTTAGGAATTACAAAATTTACCAGCTTCTGGTTACAATACAGACCAAAAACAAAACACACGCTAAATGTACAGGCATTTTAATTGCGTTCCTAAAGATTAGATTTAAAAGTTACACCACTATAACAGGAAACTGCATTAAATGTAAAAACCCAAAACTCACGTGACGACAACTACTTTTTGGTTTGACAATTCGGGTCATTATTCCCCCGCCATGCGGGTTTAACTAGACTATATCTTATGTTGTGTCTAAACACGTATATGAATAATGGAACTTAAGTCAGTTACTAGAGTCGACCAAGAAATAATCAAAAACATTGGAATACATTTAAATTATGGACGATTCGGTTTAAATTTAGCGCAAAGCTACACAAGGCCTATCTGCGTTAGCCGTCCCTAATTTAGCAGTGAAAGACTAGAGGGAAGGCAGCTAGTTATCATCACCCACCGCCGATTCTTCGGCTACTCTTTTACCAACGAATAGTGGGATTGACCTTCATATTATAACGCCCCTGAAGGGGCGAGCATGTTTGGTGTGACCGTGATTCGAACCCGCAGATTGCGAGTTGAGCGACCTAACCACCTGGCCATGAAATATGGACGAAACAAGACTGAGATCGAAGTCAAAGGTCCTGCATGATTTGTTTATTAATGAATTTTAATTCCCCCATAGTTCGAAGAATATTTACAAGGGAACGTGTAAAAACGTTATCTAGTTTTAGAAGTACACGTGCGTGTGCAGAATTAAAATATATTAACTAGGTTATACGTTCGATTCCCTGAATGGTTAGTTGGTTTTTTTTTAAAATCAAATTTAATAATTTAAAGACTTCAACTAGTGTGAATAGCCTCCAAGAAAATAAAAGAACACGTGCTTGACCTATATGTTCTCTACGATACGTTTACCGACATAAACTGACGTAATCCATTGAGAAAGTCGTCACGTGCGTATAGGGTACGAAGCGTATTAATTAAAGTTAACCACGATATGCTGATACTACTGACAGTAGCATCGTCAGCGAGCCACGACAGTGATAAAACACACGGGGATAAACATAGTAAGTTATGTCGGTAAACTTCGAACTTTAGAATAAAGCCTTTTCCTAACTATTTTAATCTAGTAGTATTTATTGCCATGGGAACTACCCCGATGTACTATCACTAGAATCTAGAGTCTATATGAGCACTATGACGTCACGCACTGATTCTGATCAAGTACCCTGTCACTAGTTTATTTTTTCTCACAGCTGAGATTCGTACAAACTTTTAGAACAATAAATAAATAAATTTCAGTCAAATCTGACGGGGACCCTTATTGCCTTTCGCGAAGTTGGTTTGAAACGAGAGAGCCAGGTGCTGGAAACTAGCGTGCCGACTAAAACTGTGAAAGAAATGGCAAGCAACAAATGAGTTTCCCGCGTGCTCTAGGCCTTGTACGGTGTCACAAAGCTAACAACATAAAGGGAAGTAGCAACCTTAAGACACACATTCACAGAAGACACGTGATTTTTTACTTTTAGTTATACGGACCCAGACACACATAAGCAACACAGGTTTGTTACATGGCAATAATTATGATAATTTCATAAGCTTACATTTCTACTTCATGAAAATAACCGTTCGATATTATTCAGATAAGACTTCCTTGCACAAAGCAAACTAAATTATAAGTGAAAAATGTTCAAACAGTTCAGTTACACCAAATTTAACCTTCAGTATACTATTAGCATTACTAGAATTATCACTACTCGTACGCAAAACCTATACAACTACAATATACTTTTAAACTGTTTTAGTACTACTTACAAGAAAACATCACCCTAATTTCAACCGTTCACATACCGTTCACTCTGGTCCTTGATAAATTCGACGCAAAACCAGAGTTGTATTGGAAACCTGCATAGTCGTCATCATCGCCTATGTAAAAATAGGCGGTACGGTCTCTACATCTAATCATCTTGTTACGTAACCGAAAGTTCTGGCTGATACAGTGTAGTTTCTAAATGAAATAGAAGTTGTAAATTAATACTTATTTTCATAAGACAATTTAATAAAACTGTGACTTACTAGGCAATAAGACCCTAGCAAGTAACGTTACCACAAATCTTAACTATTAACGTTATTAATTATAATGAAATAAAAACTTTTCAAATATACAATTATGCATATTACAGACTTGTATATACCAGAAGATCTTTTACCACACAGGTAAAACTACTTCCAATAAACTACGTACCTACCACCTTCGTACAACGAATGACAGATCCCTCAGGGAAACGTTGAACCTTATTAACACTTCAAAACTCGCGAGATCTCGTTATTCCTTTTAGCGCCACCTAATTGCCGTTCTAGAAAGTTACGTTTTGTTTTGACAAGATTAACCTTTACCAAAAATGTATACCTCAAAAAACCTGATACATATGTAGCAATAACCTGATTATTTGTCTAATGTGTTAGAAATTACAGTGTGCTTTGTGAAACATAGGACCAATAATAACCACTGAAGAGTAACGAAGACTGTCACATCACCAGTATTCAACATTTTTAAACTAAATATCTATAGAAAATTCACGATTGTAGTAGGATGGTTTCAAAAATTTAAATGACAATTGATAAATGATAGAAAGACGATTATTTAAACAATGAAAAACCATTATAAAAATCTTCTTCTTCTGAGTAATAGAATTTTGTTGCTAACAGAATAATAATATACAAATGTATTATGAAAATAACTTTAAAAACAAATATATTTAAATCATTTTTCTAAAATAATTTCACTGTAGCTAATGTTTTTATATAACAGTAAAAAAATGTAAACTCCAACTAACCAAAGTTATCAGTGTTTATTCCACTCTTCCTATTGTGTAGATATCAGAATATCATGTTTAATCCTTGTCTGAGTTTGCCTCCACCTCTGGTGGCTCACTGGTAAGCTTGAGAGCTACTAACGCCAAAATTTGAGATTCGATTACTTTGATGGTACAGAGAGCACCTTGGATAGCTTTGTTTAACAATTAACCTCCAGTTTTTCTTTCCAACACGTAGTTCGACACGTCAGGACTTACAAGAAATAAACGAAACTGTGTGAACTATCCTAAATGTAAGCGATATATAGTAAGTGTAAACAGTTTTAACAAGTGCGGAATGGAAACCAAATAGATAAATACAATATAATTCTATCGGATTTATCTTCATCATTTGAAGAAAACAAACAATAAAAATGTAACGATTAAATCACCTCCCATTCTTCATCATTTGAAGAAGACAAACAATAAAAATGTAACGATTAAATCACCTCCCATTCTTCATCATTTGAAGAAGACAAACAATAAAAATGTAACGATTAAATCACCTCCCATTCTTCATCATTTGAAGAAGACAAACAATAAAAATGTAACGATTAAATCACCTCCCATTCTTCATCATTTGAAGAAGACAAACAATAAAAATGTAACGATTAAATCACCTCCTATTCTTCATCATTTGAAGAAGACAAACA